CACTAGACTTTCTGCTTAAAATAAAATGGCACACAAACTCAGAGGCAGTCGCACGAATGTTATGACTCGCACAGAGGCTGAGAGATGTTCGTGTTTAGCTGATAAATATTTTTTACTTTCTCTCTTTTGTTTTTTCCATTAAAAAAATGAAATATGAAGCTTGGGTTTCGTATTCATTGAACGGAAAAAATGGTTTGCGTTTGCAACTTTGGTACTGCATGCATCCTAGCCTTTTTTCTTTTTCTGGTATGGTTTTTATTGATTTAAAGGAAATAGTTCACTTTCACGAAATTATTTTTTGCAACGGATTTATGATTTTTTATGTTCAAAATAATCAGCAAAGAAAATAAAACCTTTTTATAACAAAATATTATTTTCTATATTTTGATATAGGAAGAACTTTTCAGTTTCTGTAAGGCACACGCGATCCAGTATGAAAAGAGCATGGGTCCCGAAAATTCTTCAGAAACAGAGAAATTATCGCAGCCACCGGCATTTGGGCGATCTGCTCGATCTGATAATGTTCCCCTGAATGTCCTAATTGATCAGTACGAGAATTTCTCTAGAGTTCTCGTAGATAATTTCTCTAGTTTCTGAAGAATTTTCGGGACCCATGCTCTTTTCATACTGGATGGAAATATATGCAAGGCACACATCCTCAACGCAAGACACCTTTTTCGGGACGAGAAATAGAATATCTTTGCCTAGGTTGATCGTTGGGCTGTAAAAGCTCCTGATTTATGCTCGTCTCAGCCCAAGCTACGGAACTGCTATTCCAGTTCAAAACCCATGTTAAAAAGTGAACTATTTCCTTTAAAGGTAGTGTGCCAGCTTTCTTGGACCATATGGAGTTAATGACCCGGATAAGGAGAACCGGATTTTTAGAACTTATCCATACCTTCAAAACTTATGGAAACGTCTTAAATTCTTCAAATTTTTAGTACCCCAGTGCGAAATTCGCCCCGACGGGTTGTCGGTCGTACCCCAACCACATTTCACACCACTATGAACAATAAATGCACACACTAAAATCGCTATTACCGATAGGCTCATCCAATCAAGTTTCGATAAACCCGTTCATCATCATCTCCTGCGGTTTCGAACACGCCTGTTAGGTGGCTTCTGATGCTCGTCGAGGTCGGAATTTCCAAATACGCGTGGTGCGTCGGGCCGCGCGCTCTGACTTCGGCCAAGAAAAATGCGTCAGCTGATCATTGTCATTTCTGCCACTTGCGTGTGGTGTAATGGGGTCATAACTTAAGAGACGGCTGTTTCATATCAATTATTTTACATAAAATCATATTTCAAACCACAAATTAATGTTCGACAGCCAAATTTAAGAAACAATACCAATACAGGCTTACAGTTTAAGGCTCGACATTGTGTTGTCTACGATTAGACAGCTGATAACTCATTCCCGTACGTCGTATGGTCGTAACACTATAATGACCTTTGCTTATTGTCACAAGTGCGCCGCATTCGCGATTGTTGCCCGACGCCTGTTTGCAGGTGAGCCCACTACAGTTGTTATACATATCTAAAAACCGATAAACTTTTAGGCGAAAAAGGCACTATTCCAGGCCCATTTTTGATTTTTTTTGCGATATTAGGTAAAAACAGAAGCTTCTTATCCTAGGAAAAATAAAACGGGAAATCTTTCAAAGGTGGCACACTACCTTTAAACTGCGCTCCATTTATCAGGCTTGTGACGCTATGGATTCTGGCTGGATACAAATATGTTGTGTCTACACATACCAAGTAATCTTGTGCATCTTGGATCTTCCCCTATAATCCATGGCACACGTCTATGTACAGTTGACACCACGGGCCGTGAATTGCGCTGCAATGCCGATAGTTCGGGCGTCCCTTCCTGCGCCTCGCCGGCCGGGCCCTCCGGGGTCATGGAGTACATATCTGGCGATGCGTCACGGGCCGACTTTCCGACACTTTCGGCCTCTCATTGTGATCAGCTGTTGAGGGCACACCCGTGGTGTGTGCGGTGTGTCCTCCGTATGCCGTGGTCGGCGCCGCCGCCCATGGCCCGGCCGCCGCGGGGTCATTGGGTCCGTCTGGGCGGTCGCCGGCTGGGCTGCGGCGGGGAGGGGCGGCGGGCAGGTGCGCCGCTGACCGTCCCGGCGCCCTCCCTCCGCACAACGGCGCAGTTCAGACGGCCTGCGTCGTGGCCGCCGCGACACAGCTCGAAGAAGGGCGGTGTGAGAGCGCGAGACTCAGCTCCGTTTTATTCGCATAAAACAGAGCCATTGATCAGAGGTCCGGCCGCCGGCGACTCTGCGCCTTGTGGCGGCGGCGGCGGCCGGGCCCGGGCGGCGTGGCGTTTGGGCGGGGCGGGGGCGGCCCGGCTGTGCTGCCGTCGGTCGTCCCCGGCGACATCCCCGGCTGGAGTGGCCTGTCGGTGCCGGCGGCGGCGGCCACGCCATCGACGCAGCTCGCGGCCGGGCCCGGGCGGCCGGCCGGCGCCGCTAGGGTCGAGAGTGGCGTGCTCCGGCCGGCACGGCGCGGTAGTGCGTAGTAGACGGTGGCGGCCGGGCGGCTGGATGCCGGCCGGCCGGCGCGACGGCGGCGCAGTCGGCACGGACTCGGCACCGGGGTCGGTGTGGACTGGGGCGCGGTGTGCCTGCGGCGTGTGCATGTGGAGTGTGCGAGCGACGGGCGAGCGGCGTGATCGCGACACGGGACACGGCAGGGACCAGCTGACGGACCGGGCCGCCGCTGCCGCCGGCCGGTCGACCTGTAGCTAATAGCGCCGTGAGTACCCGGCGCCCCCGCCGACCCACCTGCCGGGCGGGGTATGATGTGCGTAGTTGGGCGTCGGCGGTCCCTCCCTGCCCCGGGGGGAGAGGGGCGGCGGGCGCTGACTGGGGAGCGACACCGACGGCCTGGTGACCGCCGACGCGACGGGCCGGCCGACACTCCTTTGTCTAGGTCAGGGTTAGTCTGGCCGCGTACCACGGTCAAGGTCGATAAACGGTTCAGTGATCTGTGGTGTAACCGGCCACGGTCACCGAATATTAACAGTAAACATTGACGTTTTATTTTGTTCCCTCTACTTTCACCCATTTTGATTTGCATGGACAAGGCCATGGAATAAAGACGATCAGACTACTTGAATGCGAACTCGAGAAGAGTGTCGCATTCAAGCGGCGCAAGAAATAACAACGCCAACCCTCCCGCCTTCGCTTTGCCAAATCCCCGAGCCTCTCGAGCCCGGACGCCTGCGGCTTGTGCGCCGGCCGAATCGATGCGCGGCCGTTACCGTTTTTCCCAACTACGCAGTTGCGCGGCGCGGACCCGTCAGTTGCGGCCGACCGTCTCCGGGTGGGTACTGCTCGGCGCTCAGCTGACAGAGCTGCAGCCCCACCGGCGCCGATCGGGCCCCCGGCTGAGCCGCACGCGGTCTGCCGGCTCGGGGTCCATGCCCCGACACCGCACCGCGGCTCCGCTCACCTTCGTGAGAAGGCCAGCGCGCGGTGGAAGTCGCACTTGGTGCATTATCTTTGTCTGTGTTGGCTCATGACGCAATAGCCAAGTGGCTGTACTATCGTGAGTTCTTTTTGCGTCCAAGTTATCGTCGAAGATCCTTTATCTCTTGTGAGTGTCTGGAGTTTTGTGTCCCCTCATGGGATTAAGTCAAGTTACACATCAGATTACTTCACCTATGACAGGAGCGCAATCCAATCCCATTTCCTGCTTGCCTTGCTATATATGCGCTAGCAATGCTTGCATGAAATTGCGCTGCAATGCCGATAGTTCGGGTGTCCCCTCCTAAGTAAATGCCGCCTACTCCTATGCTAGATATGTCGAATTAGCTGACTTGTACTACATCTTCATACAATTTCAAGCATGAGCCCGTCCATATAAACACAGGCCTGAGATCTGTGTTTCAACAGACCATTCCGTTGGCGCCCGGCCGGCACTGTAGCGCTGCTGGGTGCCCTGTAATGAGGCGTTACTAACTGCGCACAGTGCCGGCGCGACGAGCAGCGGCGCGGCGCAACGTGCCAGTCGGCAGTCGCGTCACCGGCAGCTGGCGCACCGGCAGACGGGAAGGGAAGGGTTAGAAAGGGTGGCAATGGGCCGGAGGGAGGGGTAGAGAAGGGATAGACGGGAGGGTATAGAAAGGATGGATGAGACTAAACGGGAGACGTAGATGATTGACAGACGGGACAGAACGACACAGGACGGAAGAAGTAGGGAAAGGACGGATTACGCGACTGACTAAAGCGAAGACGACTGCAGAAGTAAGGAAGGGTTCCAACATTCCTTACCCCTGACCTGTCACGGGTGCCACTCCCCCCCCCCCCCCCGTCGCGCCGGTGTCAGCTGTGAGGGGTCCGACTGCAGCGCCCCCATTCTAACATACGGCATCAGCTAAGCAGGCATCCTCAATACACCTTGGGCCGTGGCCGAGTAAGCCTCAGCTAGCACCGCGTCGGGGCTTCATTATCGGTACAGCCATTAGTGATAAGATTATCCCCATTCATTGTGCAATGCGACCAATGTGGTGTGGTCAGAGCGCTCAGCTGATGAGCGGGTGAATGGGTTACAACAGCTTATGGCTCGGCTGTGTACGTAACTGAACAAGAACACCCTTTCCCACTTAACACCACTCCAACTCCAAATAGAAGTAAAGATGCTGGTTATAGTAGAATGGAACGGGATGGGAAAGGACATATGATACGGATTACGTTACGGATGCAGGACACATAATACTTAATAGGTAAGATGATGATGACTGGCCCTTACCTTTCCCTTGTAGCCGTGGAAAAGGCCGTTAGAACACTTGTTTGCGTGGTGTTACAATTGCTAAATGTTAAACTTTTCAAGGTACAACATTGTGGGTTTGTTCATTGGCATGTGTACCTTGAGTAGGCACTGTGGCTTGTGCATTTTCATGCGGTCCTTGTGTAGGTGTTGACGTACCGTTCCAGTACAGTGTCGTTGTCACAGACTGACCGACTGTTGTTGGTTGTTTGTTCCAGTCGGGAGGCGACTCGTTGGGAGCCAAGAAGGGCGCTCGACGACCCAAGGAGATGAGGGTTAAGCTTGGTACGTTTCACCCGTACAATCAGCGCTGCCGTTGCGACTGGATTTGATGAGCTGGCACTCTCTCTAATGTGCGCACTGCGCAGCTCTGTTGTCTGTTGTGTAGTTCTCTGTTGTTAGCACACTCACGCTGTAATTATATCTGATGAGTTCCTAGTAGTTGAAGTCCATAACTGCGAAGTACGAGTAAGTAAATCTTGTCGATGCATTTCGTGCCGCGATATTCTGCGCCGCTCAGTGTAATTGTCTGAATAGTTTGGTCTTCCGTGAGCTGGCTCGGATATGGAAGCCTGATCAGGAACTGCGCAGAATGTGATGTATCCCTTTGAACCTCAGTGTCCTACCAATGACACTCTTTCCAGCGTCGCAGTGCATTTGATTCAGCTTCAGCCCAACTGCAAAGAAGTGGCTCTCGCAGGGCGTGGACACCGATGTCACACTGCTCTCTATCTCTCTCCCTCCCTCTCTCCCTCATGCAGAGCGGTCCAGGCAGAGCGCGCGCGAGTGCCGATGTCACACTGCTCTCTGACTCTCTCCCTCCCTCTCTCCCTCATGCAGAGCGGTCGAGGCAGAGCGCGCGCGAGTGCCGTGCGAGGAAGAAGCTGCGTTACCAATACCTGGAGGAGGTCGTTCGTACCCGCGAGCAGGCCAACTTACTGCTGCGGAAGGAGCTCGAACAGGTCAGTGGAGTGTGCGACCAGTGGCAGGCTGGTAGAGATGTGGACGACAGAGGAGAAATGTGAGCTATAAACAACGCCGATAACGACCTGGGGTGCTAGTATGTCATATGATGTGGCATATGTGGGTTTGGAAGGTTAGGTTCGTACATTGAGACACGTTTTCAGCCCATTGCGGTGGTATGGTCGGAGTATGCCTCTTTTACGGTTGTCGGTGATCGTTGAGGAGCTGGTGCAGAAAGGTTTCATCGTTTAGTGAACTTCTGGCGGCATTGTGCTCTCCTGAATTTAGGAAAACAATATTGCCTGGCAATATACGCCTGGTCGATAGCGGGCGTGAGGCTTAACCAGGGCTAGGTAGTGGACCGCTATTCTGTGGGGCTCGAAATCTGGCTGTGGGGCTGCTGGCTTTGTCACGGTCCCGCGTTTCTGATCTGAATTAAATTGGTCGATAATGGCAACATCCTCAAAACTATGCTATCAATCGCTGCGATCGGCGATTTGGTGATTTAATTAACGTTTGATCGACGTTCAGATAAGTGGAACCGCTACCAATCATACCGGGAGGGTTTGGCTGAAGCTGTCAATGCCCGTGATGCGCCAGGCGTTTGCTCTAGTTTTCTCCATGTCATAATACGCCGTTGATTCACTCAATGTGCTGTCGGCACGTATTCAATGTCGCCGTCCTCATGTCGACCTCCTGTATACCTCATAGGTCATAGTTTCTGAAACAGGCTGTCGGTCCATGAGCCGCGCTCTCGAGATAGCTCTCCTCCAGCCGACCATCATCATATCACCCGCGGTGATCAGATCATGTGGCAATGATTGATATTCTGAGAAACCCCCGCTACTGAGCGGGTAATGGCTGTCAGGTGGAGATGTACTCGTCGTGCCGTCACTGGTCTATGGAGACGTGTGTTTGTCATGAAGATACGTGCCTCCGTCTCTGCGGGGCGTCTCTATAGTGTTCAGGGTGTGGTACGGGACAATACTGGACTACACTCGTCCTCAAATGCTGACAGTAAACTGGAAATAGTGTATATGTACCGTAATTGGTGCACACAGATGTCGGCTCGTTGACCCGCCCCATCGGCAGCCGTCACATAAACCAACCGTCTCGCAAAAGGGACCATTCATCCCATGGGTCATTGCCTGTGTGAACGCAATGACTGTGGCTAAGACCTCATAGTGGTATGCTTTAATTTCCACAGTTAATATGCGTAAATGCCACATGACCTTGTTTTAGTTGTAAATACCGCCTGACCTTGTTTGGGTTGACGTTTTTTTGCGAGAGTTCTTGTATTATGAAACAGACATGATGTGGTGTTAGTGTATGTGTTTTATGGGGACACTGTACAATACTCTATGCCATGATACACGAATGATTTGAAAGTAAAAAACGGTTTGAAACTCAGGACATCACATTGACTATATTATTATGCGTGCTAGCGCTCAAACGGCGGAATTATCAAAGTCACCCCTTGGTCTGATCATGCGACATGCTCTTGCCTTTATTGTGTCGCATTTGGGATAGTTCCCAGGATTAATCCGATTTCTGTTCTTTGACCATCACTCATCAGACATCACCAGTAACTATACCGTATCTTTTTCAGTATTTAAAATGGAACCAGGAGTTGGATGAGGGCCGCGTACCAGAAGGCCTGAAGAAACTGGTGGAAGAGGACCAGTTACAACAACAGCAACAGCAGCAACAGCAACAACAACAGCAGCAACAACAGCAGCAACAGCAACAACAGCAGCAGCAGTTGCAATACTCGCAGCAGCAACAGTAGACCCAGCCGACCCGGCGGGAGCTCCGGTAAGACGCCGGAGATGGTCGTACCCTGCGCGTCGCTGTCTGTCGGGATTTTAGCCCCAACGCACTGCTGCGGGGTCGAAGGTCTTGAGCTAGGAGTATGCCGAGGGCGCGGCGGGCGGCGGCCGCAGAGGTATGGCCAAGGAGACTGGTCAATGGGCGTGAGTCTGTCACTGAACTGGGTCTGCTGGTCGGCATCTGTCGGTAGGCTGGGTCTGCCGGTGGGCGCGGGTCTGCGGCCAGTGCGGCGTGGGTCTGTTACATGGCACGGTCTGCCAGTAAGCTGGGTCGACCTGTAGGCCGGGTCTACCGATAGGCTGGGTCTGCTGGTAGGCTGAGTCTACCGATAGGTCGGGTCGGCCGGTCGGCGGGGTTTGATCTGCCGGTGACCACCGGGTCTGCCGGTGGTCACGAGTCTGTCTGGTCTGGTCTGCCGTTGGGCCGATTCTGTCGGTGGGCTGGTCGGCTGACAGGGCTCGTGAACCATCCCCGCCGGCTGACTCGGGCATTGGCCGACCGGCACGGCAGCGGTGGCGGCTGTTCTGTGAGATCGTTGTATGGACGTTAGAGTAGAAGGTGAGCATGGTTGTCCTGCTGTGGGTCAGAAGACGTGTAGGAGAGGCGGCACCAGGGCCGCCGCGCTGCGTACCGGGTAATCGCGCGTAAGTTAAGGACGAGCGCTGTGCAAGTGTTTTGATGGCAGAGACTTTATGTGCGATGTGCAATGTAAGGCCGCGGTTCTGGGAGATTTGAGAGACGTTCGTAACGGTGATATTGATAAGATTGCTGTTGGCGTGCCCGCTTGGCTGCACGCTTCAGAACCTGGTGTTAGACGCTGTGATCGAAAGACAGCACGCGCGTATTTGTTGTGAACCTTCTCGGCTGCTTCGCTGGACTGGAAGGCTATCGCTTGGATAAGTTTATTTCAGAAACGTTGACGTATTGGCAACACAAAGGCGCCGGATATATGTTTGACGTAGGGCTGTAACAATATATTTGACCAAGCCCGAAACATTGTTTGACCGAGCTCTGACTCAGTTTTTAATTTAAAAATTGTTTATCCTTTGATTCACCGAGTAGCTCTTGCAGGGTTAACTGAAAACGGTCGTAAAATCGATTAGTCGGCTTAGTGCTTGGGATCCTCGAGCCTTTGTGCCTTTCTGGGTCCGTGAACTGGAGCGTTTCCTCGGTTTAGCTAGCACTCGTTCCACACGAAATGAATCGGGCTTTCTACAGAAACACCACTGAAAGACTCTCTTTGACGGTTGACCATTTGTTATCGCCTTTGGGCATTTCTGTAACCATAGGTCACCAGCCTTATGTCTGCTTGGTCGGTTTCACTGGATGGTATGGATTTCTGACTTTTCTGATCTTCTATCTTTCTTTAGTAGCAAGTATCGTAGAATTTTACGAATCTTTAAAGTTAAAACTGGGTTTTATCATCATGGAATGGTGTATTGATATCGCAAGAATTGGCACAGCTTCAACACTCAATAAACCTATGTACACACTCATGACACTCATCACATACAGGGTGTCCCATAAGTTCGTTCTCACCTTTTATTTGCATGTAACACATAGTACATTGCGTTTTGATATGTTTATAACCCCTCAATGTGCTCCCCATTTCATAAGCAAACACATGAATACATGCTGCGACATGCCAACCGGCATGTTTGGCAGCATAGCAGGCTTGAAGTTAGCCCAGACTGACTTGGCATGCGCCGTGAGCTCCTCAATGCTGGAACACCGCTTCGCTTCGACGAGCCTCGATTTCAATATTCCCAACACATTTTTATGAAATTTGGATCTGATGAGTTGCCTGGGATGTGATCTTGCCACACACGCCTATCACAGTCTCCTGGCACTGCTTTTATGCTTTGCTTGACCTCTGCACTGATGCACTGTCTTGCTTGAAGATGGGCCTACGACCTCCCGGATGCCATTTTCTACTAAACAAATGTGGTCATACTTGCGGTTCAAGTTAAGCTAGAAAGCTGAAACTCCTAGATCTTCTTGGAGAAGCATTCTGCGTCCCAAGACTGTTTCTGGAGCATCATTCGCAACGTGATCAGTGTCTGGACGCATATTACCCCACATTACCGTGACCCTGGCCTTTTGCATAGGAATAAAGCTGGATGACACAAAGGCCTTTTCCGTCGCCCATATCAGTAGGCGGAACTATGGTCAAGCGTACCCATTTTCGGGAACGCATTTTCGTTCCCATGTTTGGGAACGATAAACCCAAATATGGGAACGCCATGTAGGCATTATTTAAAACAAGAAAAAGAACCGTTAAATGACGTCCAAAAAATATAAAACGATCGTGAACCGCCTGATATTTGTCTCAATATTGTTGGGAAAGAGTTTGATATTGTAAGGCCCATCGTAGTTTCAAATCGTTCCCCTATTTCTAAAGCAGTCCATCATCCGGGCCGCGAGCCCAAATTTGGGAACGCTCTCGTACACTGGCGCTGCAAGCGTTCCTTATTATGGGAACGGCGTACCCAAAATTGGGAACGATTTCACCGACGCCTTTCAGGGGCTCTTTTCATTAACAAGCATCACGTCCAACGCCGCAAATTATTGTTAACGCAACAATCATCAGATGACCTTTCCGGCAAGACCGTCGCATGTTTCGCCCGGTCTTCTGCGCTTTTATTCCCGTCGATCTCGCAGCGGGCACGCCCCCCTCTGCAGGATTACGTAATTCACAACGCTCAGCGATGTTCAACAAGGTCTTCCATACCTATATCCACCGTCCGCGCTGAGGGTGGAGACATGTCAAGCACCTGTTTGTTTATCACCGATAGTTGACGAGTACAAGGAAGTATCCAAAAATGGGAACGCTGAATATGTTACACCCTCAAAACACCTAGTCCCAATGAAAATCTAGTTTTTTCCTTTCTTGATGAGTGTAAGTGGCAAAAGGCCTGGTAGGATGGGCACGAGGAATTATCGAAATCAGCATAAAAATTATAAATAAGGCACAAAGAGCGAGCTATATAAGAGAAATTCCCCCAAAACGATCACGCTTAGAAACACGGAAGACAAAAACCACGCTCATGACGCTCCTTATAAAACAACTCTAAACAGCTAGCATCCAAATAAAATATGTCTTTCCGGGATGATAAAATACAGCTGGATAATTTTCAACCGCTTAAACTGAGTTTACAACAGTAGCTCGGTAAATTCGCTCACGTTCCACGCGGTCGTCCGCCCCGACACAAAAGTCAACAATATTACCTCGGGACCGTCCGCGTCTTCGCTTGCATTTGTCAGCATCTGGTGTCGATAGTATGAAAGTTCATAACCAGGCGAAAATTATTATACTTTACCTCAAACTGAAAAATGCTTCATTTTCCTTAAAATTGCATGTTAAGTGTCGTATAACCCATATTTCCACCATTCTGTCATTTTCAAAAAATCATTAAAAATATCATTCCACGGTCAATTTCCTTGTTCCACGGTCAGATTAAAGATAACTTTATGGAGATTTAGTAGACACTTAAATCAGCGTGCACTTTTTTGAGACGTGATGCACTTTTGAGTTTTAGTGGGAGAACGGCCGAAAAATTGCCTTCCGTTCTCATAAATGGGAACGCCCGTTCCCATATTTGGGAACTCCGTTCCCAAAAATGGGAACGTTCCTATATTTGGGTACTCATGACCATAGTTCCGCCTACTGATATGGGACCGTTTTGGGGTTTGGACGGGTGTTTTATCTCGAGCACGGACTAGGTAGTCCAGATGACCACATTGATGTCATCGACCAATCAGTTTTTTTTTAGCCTCAGGCATAACGAAACACATGTTTGGCCATTTTAAGACGTTTTTGACTGTTTTGAGCCCTCCGGTAAGTAGAGCTTAAGTCACCTTGAGTTAGGTATCCCGAGATAATACTCTTAGACAGCTGGTAATACATCCTGAAAAGCCTGTTTACCAACTTTCTAACGCTAAGACCTTTTTGACGGCCATTTAGGCGCCACACAGTTTTGGCCACATGGCTCACTCGTGAAAGCTGACAAAAGAGAGCATAAACTTGCAGCGATTGACTCCCGACAAATCATCGGCGTCACTTGTTGACTGTGCGTCCAGTTAGCGACAGACATTGGCTACATACTGGATGGCCTCAATCACCCTCAACCGTCGTGAATGGCCCAGTGCGGTCTAAATACCGAGACGTTCCCGTATCAGAGACCTCTATGTTGCGGCGTAAGCCGTCTCCAAAGGAAGTGAACTCTCTGGCAAAGAATATTTTGTCTAGACGAATTAGTTACCGTGGAGCACATTCACAGTTGCCATGGCAACCCCAAAAGCTCAGTTACAAAATTAATTAAGCGTGGCTTTAAATAAGAGAGCCTCTTAAAGAAAAATTTAGGTGAGAAGGAACTTATGGGACACCCTGTACATAATACCCTCGGCAGCACAGGCACCACACGGTGATTGGAAGACTGGCCGCGGCCCTTGGCGGTGCCCTGCTGGGGCAAAGGCAAGTGCGGCCGCCCCGACGGCCGCGCAAAGCTCAACGAATCGGAATGTGCTCAGAATATCGATGTGTTGTGCAAAATAGGTCAGCTTAAAGACAGCGTATAAGGAAGACTGTGAGCAAACGAGAGGCTCGAGAGATTCAGACATTCTCCGACCCCAGAGCCGAACCAGCCGGCCGCCAGCAGTCTGACCAAGCCTGGAAAATACTTTGGCATACGCTGCTTGTTACATAGGTATAATATCGTCTACACTCGTACATTTCTCATTACTGTATATGTGCGGTCACTTCGTGTGCAAATGCTTCGCAGTGGCGTCCGCTTTGTCCCTGCGACGCGTCTATGATGAGTTGGAAACGACACACATGATCATAAACACTTCGAGATTCGGACACTTCACCCACACCAGCGAATAGCCGTGTCTGGTCCCGTTTAAACATACATTTCACATGGTCCCGCTGGTCCACCCACTTAAAATACCCGACCACGACCCACCGCATAAAAGGCACGCGGGCTGAGCATCACCGACGCTGCAGCCCGAATAAGTTCGATCACGAATTCACTCACACTGAACCCACTGCGCGCCCTGCTGACTGGGCATGGGCGCCGTCTGTGACTGCGGCGGGCGCCCCGCTCGCGGCGGGCGCCCTGTGACTGGGACGGTGACTAGTGACGCCCCGGCGCCGACCCTCGGCTCACAGCCCCTCTGTCTGTCCGTCTGTCTGTCTGTCTGTCACACCAGCGGTCGCCGGCGCTAACACCAGGACGTCTTTCCCGGATCGACATCGATGGCGACGCCGCTGATTTGTGACAGAAGACTGGCCACGCTATGACGAGGGTCCAGCTCGGCGGCGGCGGCGAACGAGAATTGAATGTCGTCGACGGAGGCGCCAGCCGCCCCCGCCCCGGCCGCCGCCCCCGCCCCCGCCGGGACTGAACTGCAGGACGGACCGGCGCCGCCTGAGGACCCCGAGGACAGTGCGCTGAGAGAGCTGGCTGGCAGCGCGCTGAGAGAGCTCGCCGGTAGTGCACCCAGAGAGCTCGCCGGCAGCGGACCCGCCAGCGTGCAGTTCTGGTAGCTGTGAGGTGCTGCAGCCCCACCCACCGCCGCTGCCGGCTCTGCCGCCCCCATGACGCTCCGGACAGCAGCGGTGGGGGCGGGCGGTTCGCCGGTGGGCACCTCGTACCCAGAGCTGCTGTCGTGGCGCAGCTGCAGGTAGCTGTGCCGGTGCGGCAGCCGCAGGCGCGCCCGGCTCGGCAGCGTGGCCTGCGCCGCTGACGAGTCGCTGAACACGGAGTCGTCGTCGCCGTCAGCTAGCAGGAACGAGCTGTCGCGACCGCTGTTGGCGCTCGAGCTGCGCCTCCAACCGCCGCCTGACGGAGGAAGATGAGAGATTAGAGGCGGGTAGGTGGTGTCTGGGGAAGAGTTTTACCCAAGCCCAGAAAATGGGAGGTGAGCTAACACATTATAGTTGCAAACCCATCCGTTAATGAGTGAAAGGGACGTAGTTGCTTGTAGACGGAATCCACCAATTAGAGGTGGAATACAATACATTCATCTCTTTTCAAAGCATTAGTGAACAACGGACCAGCTCGAAGATAAGTGAACCATTGACCAACAAACACGCACACGACACACTCCGGTTATTGAGAGGCGGAAACGTTACTCAGCAGAGGCGAGAGGTGAGCACACTTACCGGTAGCTTCAACCTCCTCTCCATCGGCCGTGTAGGCGCTGTTATCGAACGCAGCTGAGTGGGACAAAGAGTAGCTAGAGTCAGCAGAGCCGGACGGACGGACAGCAGCAGAATGGACAGAAGTTAACGTACAGAGCCAGCAGAGGGGCATCAGCCGAGACAGGCGGACATACCAAGATTAACAGACATACCAGACGAAATTAGTACACGTGTGTGAGATGCACGGGCCATCAAATGTACACAGTTATATGCCAATAATAGGATTTACCATTCCTGCTCAATAATGAGCGTCAGTCAAACAGACCCTTGCAATATCGTTCTCGTATTAACATTCATTCCACATGCGTTCCAGGCAAATATCATATTCCTGCCTGAACAAACGTTATCTGCATAACAACTCTTCCACAAATAAAGACGCCTGAACTCATATCTCCGTGCAGGGATGCGAAATCATTCATCGGACGTGGCACTAGGGTACGTCGTTCGTGGCAGTCGTACTCACCGGGTGTTCGGGCGTACTGGGCGTTGTGCACGGTCATTCCGGTCTGCACGAGCCCTGGTGCCTGGCCGAGGGCGGCCACCTGAGTCTGCTGCAGACATTGGAGGCAGTGCGCGAAACTGGGCCGGTCCTCGGGATCGTACTCCCAGCACTGCTGCATCAGGTCGTACCTGCCGGGTGGAGGGGACAGGGCGTCAGTGGATGGATGAAGAGCCTCGCAGTGGTCAGAGAAGTGAATGATGAATGTTAACCTGTTCTTAGATGAGGGGAGCTCAATGATAGCCATTGGAATGCGTGCATGGGTCCCTGAGTTGCAAATATGGAGAGCGTATGGCCGGGTATGTACGAACAGCTACGCTGATGACTGGAGTAGTTACGCTACTAGGCTGCAAATGACCAGTCGCTGACCACCCAACGCTTCCTGCCCTAGCTCCACCTTAACTCCTCGGGCCTAACCAACCCGCTCAGCCCCAACCAACCCCCGGCGTCACTCACAGCAGCTGGGGGCAGCGGTCCGGTCGGCTGAGCGTGCCGCCCTCACGGACATACTGCAGCACCTCCAGGTTGGTACGGGCCGGGTACGGCTGCTGGCCCTTGGTCATCACCTCCCAGAGAAGCACGCCGAACGCCCAGACGTCCGACTGACTGGCGAACACGCCGTCAATCAGTGACTCTGGAGACATCCACCTGGCGGAGGAGGGAGGAACTACGGTCAGACATCCACTTGGCGGCTGGATCAGGAACTTCAATCGCACAGGTACTTAATCGTGCGCGGGCATCTGTGTAACTTTGCGTCCTCACATGTAAAACTCATTTGTGTGCTCCCTTATCCTGGTCCTCACCTGACAGGCAGTAGACCCTCGCCCTCCTTTCTGTAGTAGTCGTTCTTGTAGATGTCCCTGGCGAGTCCGAAGTCTCCAATTTTCACGATGCGTCTGTGCGGCTCGCTGCTGGTGACCAGGCAGTTGCGGGCAGCCAGGTCCCGGTGGACAAAGTGCAGCTGCTCCAGGTACTGGCAGCCACGCGCTACGTCCACACACATCTGTAGCTGGTCGTTCAGCGACAGGATCGGAGCCTGCAGAAGAGAAGCGGTAAAGTGAGTAATCGTGGGCTCGATCGACGGGAACGCACTGCGCACTATCTGAGCAAAGTTGACACATGGCTGAGGCGTGAGGACTTTACCAATGGCATCACGTGTTACATACAGCTCAGCGGCATCACCAACAATTTGAGCATCTGATCAAAATCCTTAGACGTTTAATCGTCACGGATAGTTCGGTTGTGTCGTCTTACCCCGTCGGAGTCGGTGCCTCGGTTGGCGCGCAGGTAGCTGAGCAGGTCACCGCCCTCCATCAGCTCCAGAAGCAGGAAGTACGGGTCGTTATCCAGACACACGCCCAGCAGAGAGATGATGTGCTTGTGCTTGAAGTTGCTCATCAGCTGCGCCTCTTTCAGGAACTCGAGTTTCTCTTCGTCCTTAGCTCCTTTCGCGAGTGTCTGGAAACGACAAATGTCCACGGTAAAAAGTAGACGACAGAGGATGCCAGGCTGACCCTCAAGTGATTTGCATTTAGACAGTCGTTTTGAAATACGCTATTTGATACAAAACATTAAACAAACGAAAACAAGGAATAGCATGTCCCCTCCTTCTCCCAAGACTACTGTCTACTTTACTACTCCACCCACAGCTTCCTATCCCTCCCACTCCCACGCTCTTCTCACCTTGATCGCAACCCTGACTCCGTCTTCATCCTCCTCCCTGCCAGGTAGCTGCTGCGCCAGGCCCTCGTACACCTCGCCGAACGCCCCCTTGCCGAGGAACTTGGTCAGCGTGATGTGCTCGCGGCGCACGCGCGGCAGACTGGCTGCGTCCTCAGCATCAGCGAACGGCGGCGCGTACAGAGTGTTGTTCTGGCGCACAAAGTGAGCCGGGATCTCGCGGAGCTGCGCTAGCTCCAGGTCGTGGGGGAGCTGGTCTGGCGAGCGGGGTGCCTTCTTGTCCTCGGGACGGTGACGGAAACCTGGAGAGGTGGAGACGTGGTGGTCAAGAGCATGGTTATCAATGCAGTGCTAACTAATCGCTGGGCTCACTGGGGCTATTAGTGGAGAAGTTTTTTGAGGAAAGTTGAACACGCTCTCTGTAAGTGTGGTCAAATACAGTAGTCCTCTAACTTTGTTGGGGCTAATTAGCACGTCCCTTAGCGCCTGATCGTTCACATATACCATACCGACTTTCTCTACCATAGAGGAGTTTCAGGGTAATCACCATAAAGGTAGTTGATCTCACACATTATCAAGTCAGCCTCAGCTGATCAGTCACGCGCCCATTCCCGGCCCACTTACGCAGCACCAGGTAGACGATGGCGATGATGATGACGAGGCAGGCGGCGCTGATGACGCCCCCGACGATGACGGGCGTGTCGGACCGCGGAGCCGTCAGCGGCAGACTCTCCAGGTGGTGCGGCAGAGACGGGGCGCTGTACGAGCTCCAGCCGTGGGTGTTGTGCGCCCGAGCCCGGAACCGGTAGTTGGGAGACGGGTCCAGACCGTCAATAATCCATGATGGGTCTGTGGGAGGGGAAAGGAGCGGGCGGTCAGTGAGGCGCTTCTTTGGAGCGGTGCTGAAAAGAGCGCAAGGGAAAACTACTGCAAGTAGCGAAGTTTATCTGCGGAGTTTCCAGAAACGCCGGCCTAAAATGTGTTTGCCTTTCAACGAAGTTACCAACCAAAACGTTGAACTGAAACGCGCTTGTGAAACCGTCGCGAAGCGCAAATCAACTTAGCATATAGGTACGCTTCAGTCACTTGTTATTCTTTGCCGAGTTTAAATACACTGAGCTGAAAGTCAAACAATTACACAAAGTCGCATTCTCGAAATAGCCAGCTCTATCTGATGGCCATCATATACCCAATCCTCCCGATTCAGTGAGTTTGATTCCCAAGCATTATTGTTATCTGATCTGTGTGACCCGCACATAGCTTTTCACCTACTAGCCTCCGCGACCCAACCTCATGACCAACTCATAATGGTTTTGACCCCGTCACCTCTCCTCCCTGGGATCGTCCCCTGCACCCTTCCGTCCCCGACCGTCGTTCCGTCGCTCACCTGCGCCGGTGTAGACAAGTCTCCAGCCCGAACCGTCGTCGTCCATCCCGGAAGCGTCGCGTCGGGCGCGACGTGCCTCCGACTCGACCTCCAGCTCGTAGCGGTCGATTTCTGCACCGTTATCGTCGGGAGGTGCCCAGCTAACCTGGTAAAGGGAGTTGGCCAGCGGCTGGACCTCGGGCGCAGCCGGCTGGTCCGGCCGGCCAGCTGGAAAGGCAGGAGAGATACTGTCAGCGGATAGGGTAATTGTTAGAAATACAGAACTGTCAGAAGTCAGAACTCATCTAGTTAAACGCTCCAGAGCCTCAAACCTATCAACCCGCTAGAAAGACAGGGAGATATTAAAGGATATAGTAAATTAATTGTTAGGAGGCAGAACTGTCGCAACTCATCTATTTAGCTATGCCCTCCCGAGGCAATCGAACCTGCCGACTCACTGAAAAAAAAACATGAGGGATAATGTCCGGGTAGAATACCGGTAGACACAACTGTCAAGTGTCAGAACTCGTTGTAGTTCAGCTCTCCCGAGACCACCCGACCCAGTCTCCATCCTGCTCACCTGCAGTAGTGAATACAAAGTTCTCCCCGGCCGCCGGCACGACAAACGGCTGTCCCGAGCTGAACACCAGCTGCAGTCGGAACCGGTACTGCGAGTTGGCCTGCAGCTGCCCAGCCACGAACAGCTGCAGCGGCTGCTGGGAGCCGGGCTCGGCCAGAGTGGCGTTCATCCAGTCACCCCCGGCGGCAGGACGGTACTGCACCCAGCTCCTGGAGAGGTCAGAGAGGTTAGCAGTCAGATACAGCGTCTCACACTTCCTGATATAGGATGACCCTAAGCAGCACTTCTGGGAATGTTAGACGGCATGGATTAAAGGAACATGCGCAGATCCTTTCACGGGGTGGTATTGAATTATGGAGACACCAGAGGTCAAAGTTCAGGTAATGCACGCCAAAGTCGCATATAATTCAGGGATTTCAAGTGACAGCTCCTACAGCGCAAATCGCTGGACTGAGATCCCCAGACAATCGAGGTAATACGCTCTGTCACCCACCGGGGACCCATATCACGCTAAATCATTCCTGCTCGGAAGCTGCAGCTTCGCAGTTCCACATCAGGTGGACGGCCATTGCAATATGTGTCAGGTTACTGCAGCCACTGCACTGGAGGATGGGTCACTGCGTACTAGCACTGGGGTTAGAGTCCATGCACTGGAGCCTACACCCCGTACCCGTCCCAACTCCAACTGCCACTATACTGGCTGAATAGACAATGTCGAATATGCCGTCTTAAAATAACCTTGAAGCCTTCCATAGATTATTAATCAACCATCTTTACCATCCGCAGACTATCTATAAACCATCCGCAGACCATACATAAACCATCCGCATAAACCATCCACAGACCACCCAGCCCTCTCCCGCGGACCGCGTCACTCACCAGTGAACGGTACCATCCCCGGGCCGCGGCCAGCCGACGGTCAGGCTGGTGACGTTAGCCTGCTGTAGACTGAGCGGCGCTGGGTACGGGTAGGTGGTGGCCACTACCAGACTACTGTTGGAGTCGGCACTGCCGTCCGACGACAGCGCGCTCACCTGTGGAGGAGGATCGTATCGGTCATATGAGGTCACAAGGGGTCACAAAAGGTCACATGAGATCAAAAGTGTTCACATGAAGCTACAGTGTTATTCAAGGGTCACATGAGGTCACACGAGGTTACAAAAGGTCACATGAAGTTACAAGAGGTCACAGGGGGTCATACGCGTTCACATGAAGTCGTATGAGGCATGAGCTCATTCGAGGATACACCACAACAAAGGGTCTAATGGAGCCGATACGAGGTTGCAATTAAACGTGCACGGGACAAACGAATACCGCGCTCATGAGAGCCATGAATAGCAATGTGTGTATGTATGTACACAAATACATATAACTCCACCACGCTCACGCACCCGGCACCACACTGCCTTCTCGTTATTACTCACCCAGATCTGGTACTCTGTGGCGGCCGTCAGGTCCTTCAGCAGGAAGCGGAAGCGGCCCTGCGGCGCGTCGTCGGGCCGGTCGCCACCGGTCGGCTCCGGACCGAAGGCCCGCAGGCTGCTGGTGGCTCCCTCAATGCGCCAGTGAACCTGATAGCTGAGTCGGTCTCCAGAGGAGAGAGGCGGCAGCCAGCCGACCTCTATCTCCCCGGGGGAGAGCGGACGGGCAGAGACGTCACGCGGCTCCGTCGGCGCTGGAGAGAGGGGGAGAGAGGAGGTCAGTCGGGGGTACAGGTGACGTACGGCGAGAGGTATGTCAGACAAGGGATGGGTATGTCAGAAGGGGGAGGGACTGGCTAGAAAGGAGATGAAAACAAGTCAGACAGAAAGGCAGGTCTTCAGGGTTATCAGAAACACAGGAGAAAAATCACAGAGGGGGCAGATCAGACAGTGGTGCTTAAGTCTGACAGAAAGGACAAATCAGACAAGGTCACCGGAAACACACGAGGAAAGGTCAGACTGAGTTGCGGGATATGTCAGAAAGGGTTACCGAGAACGGCTCGGTCACGGGGCTCATACGCCAACCAGCCGATCCGATAAATGTAACAATTTATAGCCCCTATTACCTCCGATGAAAGGTTAAACGGATCGACACTGAGCCACAATGATTGCCTATTTCCGGCGTCCATGACACGACATGAAACAGAGCCGCTTCACATAGTGTCACCCCATATAATGCGGGTGGCACTGCCCACTGGGACCACATTTGGCCGAAGGATCAATGGGAAATATACTGACCCGGCGCCGTGGTTCGGACGATGATACTGGTGTTGGACGGCAGCTCGATGCCGAGCAGCTCAGAGTAATAGTTGGACACGGAGACGTGCACCGTGTAGGCCGTCAGGCTGGTCAGGCCCGTCAGCTGAGTGCGGTTACTGACAGACGTCTGAGGGGAGAGAGAGGACAGCGGGAGGTCATGGCATGTAGGCCGAGTCGAGGTGGGACAAGTCTTCTAGCTGTAAATGTGGAGATATTCATGTGAACAGAGTTGGTAAATTAACACTTTAAAAACCTCATGCGAAACCTCAAACAAAATTTTACGAGTAGCTTAATGTTTAGTGCCACCACGAACGTAAAGCAGTGCCGAAGTGCCGTACACTTCTGTCTTCAAAAGACCAAACAAACTGTTACTCAAAGCAGGTTGGTGGAGTGGCTTAGATTATTTCGGCTTAGCAGAAAAACTGTTTCGTTCAGCCCCCGCTCACCATATTCTGGCAGAATCGCAGCTCGTCCCGACACCGTTCTTTCTCGGCGTTCGACCCGTAGTGCAGCGTGTACCGCACGGCCGCTGCGGACACCGCCCCGCACTCGGCCGGCGGGGACCGGGGAGACATCTGCAGGTCGACCGTCGAGGCTGTGCTGTGGGTGTCGGTGGTGCGGCCGGCGGGAGGACCGGGCAGCAGGCAGCGCACGGAGGGATAACGCTGCTGCCGGCCGTCCAGCGGCCACAGACCGCCCACAGAGGCGCCCCAGTACACCTGGCGCCGGCCGGACGAGCCCAGACGCTGCGAGTAGACTGGTGAGCCAGTGTCCTCGTCCGAACTCGAGTTGAAGATGGAGTTGGAGATGGAGTGAGTGGTGTTGGGCGACCAGAATAACGTGTCCTCTGACAGGGCCATGGAGATAACTGTAAATGAACAACAGCTATGTCAGCAGGGGCTCCGCCACAGGGGGGGTCGCGGGGGTCCGGACCCCCTCAATAATTTACCTGGGGGGTACAGTACCCCCCAATATTTCAGGTACCTATAAGCTTGTTTTCGCGTAGAAATGACTAAATCATTCACTATATTGTAACGCTCTTGAGAGGCTTATATCTCAGCAACCGCTGGACCGATTGGCCTGCTGTCTTTTTTGTTGGGTAGCCCCATCCCTACTACCCCGTAATTGACTACTTTTGATACATCTCAGTGACCGTCGTGGCACGTGCCACGTGAAAAGTCAAGGATGTTCAAGATGTATTGCAAAAGTAGTGATTTTGAGAGGCTCATATCTCAGCAGCCGCTTGGGAGATTGACTTGCGGTAATTTTTGTAGGGTAGCAGCATCCCTTCTACCCAAAATAGGATACTCTCGATGCATGTGGGTCACCCCCAGCGCACGTGCAAAATACAACAATAAGAGGTGCCAAATTTATTCCCATTTCAGTAACTCGGTAATTACTGGTGCGATTTCGCTGAAACTTGGCATACAGGTAGGCACCCACCAGGCAATGCATTCCCATGTGTTGCGGTTGGGGTGCTACTGCACGTGCGCACGTGCAGGGGGCGTTTCCAGATCTCGAGAACGGCTGGGCCGATTGCGCTCAAATTTGGTACACGGTTGGGGACCAGTTAGTAGGGTGCCGTGCAAAAGTCATTTTGGACCCCGTTTGCACGTGCGCACGTGCAGAATGCCGCTTCCAGATCTCAGGAACGGCTGGGCCGATTGCGTTCAAATTTGGCACACCGCTAGCGACCGGTTAGAAGGGTGCTTTGCGCAAGCCCGTTGGAAGCACCCTCTCGCCCTTCCGCACGTGCAGGGCTCACTATCTCGCTCGCTCGTTCTTCGCCCAAAAGGCGTTTTACTGGTAATGTCATAGCAGACGAAGTGCTCGACAGTGACACCGGTCTACGAGGGAGTGTCATTATTCCACCATTTTTGTTATTACTATGAATGCGTTTAAGATGGCTAGGATTAGCTAGGTATGCTAGAATTTGGCTATACTTTTGCGAGGGGGGTCCAGCTTGTAGGTCACCTCCTTGACACAAACCTGCCCTAAGAGAGCTTCAAATCGATCTGAGAATCCCCTTTCAATGTGAGGTCATCCTATAGTGTCGGGGGGTCCATGTCGGTCTTTCAGAGCACCATACTAGTCTAAGCATCCTCACACCGTTCTGAGGTAATCTGCAATAATCTGCACAGGGTTCTAAATGCAGGTTCGTGGAGGTAGGACATTCACAAGTCACAATCCCAAGTCCCAACAGCAAGTGGAGCATTTTGATATCCATTTTCAGGTCAGGATAGGTCACACTCATCACAGAGACTGAATCTGAATGTCAATTGTCAGTCTCTAAGGACTCCATGTTGCTATATGAGGGTAGGGCTTACAAATCCCTACAATAACTGCTAAAGCCCTGAGCTTTCCTTTAACCCGCGCCCAGATGGGGTCTGCCGAGCAACGCGGTCTGATGGGGGGGGGGGGCCATTTTGGCCCCCCCCCTCAGATCTCGAGAACCACGCAACATAGCGACAAGCGGTAAACGGTGTTGGATAGCCCCAACGGGGAACTACCTTGTGACCCAATTTCATTGACCTCGGTCAAACCGATGACGTCACAGGTCAGGTCAAAGGTCGAATTTTCACCGTTTACAGGCATTTCAAGAAATGCGTTGTAAAATCGAGTAAAATGCATTTCATTGAAAATCATCGATGGAGAAATGTTCTTCAAACACATATTTTGCTATTTGAGGTCACTGATACCAGGTCAGGTCACAGAGGTCAGGTCACTGGGGGGGTCACAATATGAAAGTGTCGTGTGATACATGTTTTATGGTCCATTTTACATGACAAATGCGATTATGTGGGTCAGACAGACTTTAGGGCCAGCTTAGGTCACGTTTTGGTCAAGGTTAGGTCAAGGTCAGGTCAAGGTCAGGTCAAATTAGGTCAAATTTCAAAGTTGATATTTTTGCATAAAATGGGTATCGATTCGATGCAGCTCGTCACGGGGAGTTCAATGGTGGTCTCCGTTTTGCGCTACAAGGTCTAGAATTGCTAAAAATTGAGTTCAAAAATTTGACGTCATCAATTTTTAACAGTTTTTTCGCTATAACTTGGCCAAAAAAAGAGGTATCGATCTAAAATTTGGTATGTATATCGAAGAGCGCAGGGACTATCACATATATTCCGGTTTTTTCGAAATTCGAATTTTTTTTGGAAATTTTTTGAGTTTTTCTAAAAAATTCAATTTTTTTGATTTTGGGGGTCCAAATTCCAAAATTTCGAAAATCCGAGATAGCAGTTTTGTAGCGCCGTCTTTTCTCTACACAACCACATAAAGAACTTTAAAATTGCTTGTTAACTGTAGAATTGGTGAGCGTTTCAAGATGTCATGTTTTTTGCTCATTTTTGCTCGAACATGACCTCAGTTTGACCTCAATAACTCCTGACCTGAGGTGACCTGTGACTTGAAATTTTGTGTGAAGGTGTCAAATTGATGCCCGGTAAGGTACCCAAAATTTGCGCCGCCGTTTTCTCGCTATTTAAGAAAAACCACAGGGGGGGCCAAAATGGCCCCCCCCCATCAGGGCGCGGGTTAAGTACGGCCTAGGAGAGCTCTACACTGGCTTTAGAGCCTACGTAGATACCTGAGGGCCTATGTAGGTCCCCCAAGCCCATGCCAGTCACTGAGAGCCCAATGCGTTCTCTGATGGCCAATACCTACCGCCTTTAGAGCGCGCAACACTGGCCTCTACTCCTCAAGAACGTCAATTTTAGAGGCCGCCATGTCGGTGTCAATAGGGCTCTGCTCCTCGGTTTTCGATTCCTTATGCAATCTGAACCTTTGTTTTGCAGTTTAAAGCGAACCTCTTCCAACAAAATTGTTAAGTTTCTTTGTACTAAAAAAAAAACAGCAATTTTTCGTCGATTTCGGGCGCTGCGGTGGGGGGGGGGGGTGGCATCCTGGTGATTTCTGGCCAGGGTGGCATCCCCTTGAATGCCACCCTGGATCCGCCAGTGAGGTTTTGTGTTTTGGGTCGGACCCCCCCAATCCCAAAACCGTGGCGGAGCCCCTGGCTATGTGATAAACTTAACAGAGCAAAGAAGAATGTTAAAACAGTTCAGCAAGAAAAGATAAATTTTAAGTTACATGCAATCATCATATAAACGCCAAAATAAACGGCATTTTAGCGCTCCGCGCTATCCGGTACAGCCTAACTTCAGGCGTTATACTACTCCTGCCATCTAGCGGCAAGATCCTCGTTCACTACTCCTGCCACCTAGCGGCGAAATCCGTCACCCGCTCACGATCACTTACCGTGTTTGGGTATGTCTGATAGCGTCTGACAGCGGCAGCCGTCCATATCCGCAGCCATCAGCCTGTCATCTCCGGGCAGCTGCCAGAGCACGCGGTGGCCGTGGAGACCGACCAGCCGGCCGCCGGACGCCCCCGATGGACAGTCGCACCTGTGGCAGAACGGGTTAGAAACGTTAGTGAGAGAGGTGGAACCAAGATGTTACAGGGACAGGATACGAGTGGTAAAAAGAAACAAAGATTAAGCAGTTGGTTTGGGCAACATAGGGATGAAGGTTACCGTATAATCAGAGATGTTCCAGAGGCAGGTTTACAGGGCATATGTAGATCATATTATACAGGACACCAGCTATAGGTACCGTGTCAATGTGTTCCCAAGAGACATACTCCTCAGTCCACAGGGGCCAGGACTGTCTCCGACTCACCCGTCAGACGGCTCGTTGGCGTCGAAGAATTGTCCGATGACTCCGCCGTCCCTGGCTGAACGCTTCATCAGCATGGTGGCTCCGTCTCGACCGACCATATTCCACACCAGCAGACTGGCGAACAGACAAATAAGGCAGAGTGAAAGGAATGGCACGGTGGAAAATCGGAGAACATACAAAGCTAGCTGTGAGGTGTAAGCTGTGAACATATTTCCATGGCAATGCAAACTTAACCCTCGCCCGTAAACGGCGATCTGCCACCTTCGCCCATGCAGGGGGGGGGGGGTGGTGCGACCCCCCCCTTGGCGTTTGAAAACGGAGCGTCGTAGAGCTTAGCGGAAAAGACCAACGGATTGCTCTCGCCGAGATCTCGCGATTGGTGGTATATTTTTTGGTCCTAGGTCAACATTTGACCTACTTTTGACCGGTCAAAGGTCAAATTTTCGGAAAAATAGCCTTTTTTTTCAACTTTCCGCGGCGATGGCGGCAAAACGATGGGAGATATCGACTTGAAACCTTCACTATCGTGTTCCTTGATCAATTCTCTATCGTTTGGTATGTATTTCGTTTCCCTAGCTCTAAAAATGGCGCGTTGGGAGCGCCGGAAGTCGGCAAGGTCACAGTCGGCGGCAGAAATTCGAAAAATCAAAATTTAGATTTTTGAAATCTGATTGTATTTTTGGATTTGGGAGGTCCATTTGCTCCCTATAGAAGCTAATATTGCTGCATATTCCCATTGAGGTGACAAGAATTAGCAAAATAGTGGTTCGGGCGCTTTTCAAAAATAGTACCGGACGCTGTTCCTCTTGTGACGTCATAGCTCCGTGACCTGACCTGACCCGGTCAAGTTTCTTATACCATATGATAGCCAATACTTGCCCCAACATGCATGGGAAGTTTCATCACGATCCATCAACCGATGTCTGTACCACCGGCAGGAAACCTCGGGCGTTGGCACTCAGTTTGTGAAAATCCGGCTGGAGGCTGTTCCCTTTGTGACGTCATAACTCCGTGACCTGACATGACCCGGTCAAATTTTTTTTTATCAAAAGATGCGCAAGGTTTGCCCCATAAGGTACCCAAAATTTGGCGGCGCGCAGCCGCCGTTTTCGCACTATTTCCGAAAAACCTCAGGGGGGGTTGCACCAACCCCCCCCCCTACATGGGCGAGGGTTAAAACAGACGTAAAAACATCAGATATCAACAGAAATGTAGCAATCAACCGTTTATCACTCCTTCATAAAACTGATGAGTTGTTCACCCTTCACTTTCAGTCACTCTCTCCAGACGTTTGTCATGTCTCATTTGTACTGACATGTCCCCATGCCTTCTACGCCTCATTCACACCATCCACACTGTCATTGCCCACCTTCACATCCATCTCACTCCCACCACCATCCCTCCATACCTGGTCCACGGGTCCACCCGCAGTCGGCCAATGCGTCCGTTCTGTCCCGCCACCCGCTCCAGCGTCTCTGTGTCCAGATTTCGCCGGTAGATGGAGCTGTACTGGCCGGCGGTGTCTGACTCGGCCCAGTACAGATCCCGGCTGATCCAGTCGTAGGCCAGGCTGCTGCCAGAACCGCGCAGGCTCTCCACCTGATGAAAAATGGGAGAGAAGTGAGAGAATCGGTGGTTAGACCCGTACAAATGGTTTCAAGAGAGCTAATTTCAATGACATGGAATATGAGATTTAAAAAGTAGTTCACTCCATGTGTACTGTGTATTTCATACACCGGTATCTATAGTTCACTTACCTTGTGTTTGGTCAGTGTGCGCAGGTCCAGGCTGAGGATATCGTTGTCCGGGGTGAGCAGGAACAGCCGCTGCTCCCGGACGTCCGAGGCCAGGTCAGTGACCCGCTGCTGGGTCAGTAGGTCAGTGACCTTCTCCGTGTCGAGGTCAACCAGTCGCAGCCGGTCGGCATCAGCCACCAGCAGCCGGGGCACGGGGAAGTCGCGTACCTCAAACTCCAGCCGAGAGGACAGCGGGCCCGGGCCGGCAGACGTCTCCGCCTGGATCTGGGGGAGAGCAGGGGTCACAGGAGGTTAGAATGAGAAGATGAGGGTTCAACCAAGGCCATATAACTGGTTCAACACTGCAGAAATAGCTATGTGGTTGTTGTTTCTCTGAATGGGATAAATGCAAAATGTAAGCGTAGATTTAGACCCTTTATTCAATCACAAGCGAGCTCCAAAGACGTCAAAGCAATAGCAATAACATCGTTGCTGTCAGTCAGGCTTAAAAACGTAGGTGTTTCCAGAAGCCAGGTAGTCGATGTCTACTTAATGACCCACCTCGGCGCCGTAGGTGACGTTTTCCCTGAGGCCGGTCAGCTGGGTCTCGGTCTCGCTGCCGTTGACGACGGTGCTGCTGAAGACGATGCCGTCCCCCTGCCATACCGTCAGCCGGTAGTGGCCGATGATGCCGTTCGCAGAGACGGGGACGTCCCAGCGCACCACCGCTGTCCAGTTCTAACGGTTGGAACAGCGAGATTAGATAGAATCAATGAGCAACGATACCAGCTGACAAGAACAAAGAGTTGGCAACCGAAATGGCACTAATGAATCGCTGCATTGCCATTTAACATACTTCATTGTCATTAGTAAGACTAGATTATTATTAGTAAGGGGTGTTCACAGAGGGCTTATTTCTCACCTGGGGATCGACGATGGGCTGCTGCCGGAGTGTGAACACCCTGAGGGAGCGCGGCTCGCTGGGCGTACCCTCGGGCGTGTGAAGGGTGACCTGGGTCAGGGCCGACTCGCCCCACCTGGTGACCGCTCTCAGCGCCACCTGGACCGGCGAAAAGGCCGGCAGGGCTCCGTCCAACTCCGCCTCGGGCGCCTCCACCGCCACCTGGCGGCCGTTCAGCTCAGCGCGGTACGTCACCGTCGCAAAGTTGGTGTTTGTGACGGCCTCCCAGCTGACCGTCACTCCTCCGTCCTCGGCTGAGAGGGTGACAGACTCGGCCGGTACGCTGTCAGGTAGCACGTGTACCTGATGGGAGTCGGTGAACCCGGCGGGCAGAGGATGCAGCGCTCCATCCAGCACGGAGATCATCCGCAGGCCGGTGACGCCGTCAGCGTTGATGACGGCCAAGTGAGCCACGGCCGGGTCAGCGATGACGGCTGACTCGTCCTCCATCACCCAGAGTAGTCGCCCGCTGAAGAAGTGCAGCGGTCCCTTTACCTGCTTGTGGCGCAGCGGGATGACCTCAGCCGGCGGTGCCGTGTCATTGCTTCCCTCCAGGGAGGCGAGCAGGGGCAGAACGTGCAGACTGGAGCCACTGAAGTCGCGTACGATCCAGAACAGACGGTCGCCGGCCAGGTCCAGCGTGAGGCCAACCACCTGGGAGACGGGGAGCCGTGTAACGGTCAGATCGGTCAGATCAGCGGATTGTGCTGACCGTATACACAACACATCTACATACATGCCACAGTGATTGGCACATAACCTTCGATTACGTTCAACCGAAGCTGTGTCTGTCGACTCATCGAGATCATTTCACGCCACACCCGTCGTGTAAATAAACAACACGCCTCCCAGCGTTCCAGCCTGGGAAAATCCATGACGACACGAGCCCCGCTTACTCCTTTGACTCATTCGGTATCCCCCAGCCCATTTGTACGTCTTCCACCTCCTTCACTCCTACGAATATTTCCTCACCTGTTTTCCGGAGAAGATGCCCGTCTTGTAAAGGTGCCTGCGCCTCTCTCCGTTTAGGTAGCTGGCCTCTACTGTGTGTCCAGTCGCCCAGTAGAGCACACCGCGGAGGGCATCTACTCTGAGGTGCCTTGCAGCAGTGAAAAACGGCAGAGGAGTGCCGGCGGTGACGTCATCCTTTGAGGTGACGTCATCATCAGGCAGCGGTGCGCCGTAAATCTGTCGGCGGGTGGGTGGAGGTCAGGCCGGGGAGTCAGTGAAGGGACAGTCAGACCGAGCTATGAGGTCGGAGGTCGCGGTGACTGGCAAAGCCTAGTGTCGGCCCGCCCAGCACGCCCGACGCGTTCCACTCGCTCTGATGAGTCGCAGATGACATTCACCGCCCCTCGGCTGGATGTTTTCAGAGCGCAGCGCTCTCATGATTGTGTGAATAAACATTCTGGGAACAAATATTTAACCACTGCGCCGCGCCACACCGCACTAAACTGCCACCACGACTGCCATTTCTGCGCGCCGTACCAGCTGTTGTTTGGGGCTGGACCAGTAGAGTCGCCGCCCGATCCAATCCACGGCCAGTGCTGTGGCCTGTACGGCGTCCCCGAGCTGCCGCAGCTCGCCCGTACGTAGGTCGTGAGAGTAGACGCGTGAGTCGTTGGTGGCCAGGTACATGATGTCGTCACACCAAGTCAGGTCCGATACGTGGATGCCGCTCTTGTCTGAGGCCTGGAAGGAGGAGGTATTCAGTGAAACAGGGACAATAGGCTGCAGGCAGACTAGGCCGTGAGCAAACCAAATCCTGAATTCACGACTTGTCTGAGCCTTAGAAAATTAGACTCGACCCTCCACCCACCCCTCTCATGTCATTCTGCGGAAGCTACCATCACACGGTTAAAGCTAGCTGGACTTTCTTAGGGCAGCCTCTATTACATCACTACCCTTTCAAGCCGTTCCACCCTCACCCCAGCCTTATGACCACCGACACTTACGTTAAAGCTGGCGCGGCTGACCAGCACCGTAGGCCGGTCTCCGATCACATCCGACCTCAGCAGGCCCACCTCGGTAGACCAGAGCAGGAACGGACCACTGGCGTCCAGGTGGTGCTCCAGAGTCCGGCCGCGGAACGGCGCCGACCACGGGCCCAGGCCGCTCACGGACAGGGCGCGCACCTAGAGAGGGAGGGAGGTTTGTCAAAGAGAGTCGAAGTCACAAACAGATGTGTGCGCACTTAGACAGCTGAAGAACAGGAAGGGAAAGATAAACCGTGGCTGAGCCTAATATGCACTCGTATAATTGTACATGCAACTTCAAACAGCGCTGGGTTCTCATAAGTCTCAATGACCTGTAACTAACCAGTAACCTGGGTGACCTTCGTGTAATCTTTCCGACTCGTCACTAACCTACGTTACATGTATCTGACCTTTGCGACTCATAACTGACCTATGTGATCTATGACTGACGTTTGCGACTCGTCACTGATCTCTACGACCTTTCCCTGATCTCCCCAACTCCCCACTGACCTGCAGGGTATACTGTGTGTCGGGAGCCAACTTCTCCACGGTGACCTCTGTCCCTGTAATGTTCTCCGCATCCCTGCTCCGGCCGGCAGCGTCGGTCAGCCGCAGCTGGTAGGTCCAGTCACTCCAGGCGGCAGGGCCGGCCAGTCCAGAGAGCGCCGGCGGCTGCCACCGGGCCAGCGCGCGACCAGAGTGGAATACCACCTGAACGGACAGAAACGTGGTCAGTACGACCAATAACTGTGATAGTCATTTATTTTCACTCAAGCGACTAGCATAGACCTACATTTAAATACGAGGGCTTTGCTTTCGGTAAGCGTAATTGCCTTGCTAGCATTTCGAAAATGTCCTCCAACAGCGTCTGGGTTTGCCCCTCCCTTTCCTTCCGTGACGGGACTGACCTGGAGCTCCCTGGGCGGGCTGGCCGGCGCCGGCCGCGGCTGCGAGGCCGGGTGCTGCACGTGCAGACTGATGACCGGCAGTCGGGTCTGGCTGAACATGAACTGGTTGGCGTAGTGGGCGCGCCGGTCGGCCCGGTACGTCTCCAGGTAGATGTGCTGTCCGCGGGACCAGCACAGCGTGCGCGCGTGTTCGGCCAGCGCCAGCATTCCGTCGTACTGCGGCCGGACGGCGCCGCTGCGGATATCGGTCCGGCTCCAGCTGGGGAGAGAGGAGGGGGAGAGTTAGAGGCAGAGCGGAGAGCAGGGCGTGGATGCACAGAGGATCATTTATTGGGGATTTGGGAAGAATAATATGGGCAGGACAGTGATAGCCTAGGCGAAAACAGAGTGTCAGACCAAAAGGAGGGCTGAGACGTCATATAAAATGTCAAAGAGCGGAGCAGAACTCGACGCAGGTCGGATTACAAAACTGATTACTGCAGGCATAAGCCAACATTCTAACAAGCAAAACACACATGATGACGTGAGGTGAACAGATATAGTATTGCCATGGCTCACCTGATCATGGAGAGGGCGAACACGGTGTTCTTCTCTCGGCCGGGCACCAGCACGCTGAAGTTGGTGTGATCGATGACGAAGGTGGCAAAGTTGAGGTCAGCACCGGAGGCCACTCGCTCGGCTGAGGTCATGTTGTCGAAACTGCACCGGAACAGGCCTGCGTCCGGGCTGGGTTCAGAGACCGAGTAGTAGAAATAACTGCCAAAATCAGAAGGGGGAGGGTGACACCGTGACCTGAGAGGGAATTCATGTAAACCAGCCAAGCATGCTTAAATCAATACGCACGGGCACTTTAACGAAGTGCACTGTGGGTGTAATTTACGTCAGAAAACAAGCTCGCTGCCATTTGGGTGTCCTAAAGTGTAACAAGATCGGCATCGCCGGGCTGCTGTGACAGTGAGATGAAAGGTCCGTTGCAACTGTAGCAATTGCAGCCCTGTGCATAACCCCCGTGTGAAGTCTCGCTCTCGTCTATCTGTTTGTTTGTTTGTTCTGGGTTTGTCAGACTTGCAAGGCGGCCACCGAGCGCCTGGGATATATCGGTAATGACACATCTCGCCACTGAGACCGGAATCCTCGCCCACCTGACACTGACCGCTAGTTATCCAGTGACGTCACGCGGGTCACCGGTGACGTCAGCGGCCGCAGAAGGAGGTGCGCGGGGGTGGCCGAGCGGCGGCCGACTGTCTCAGCGCGACGAGCGACTGTGTAAGCAAACTATTGGCTCATGGTTCCGGCGGGACATGCCGGCCAGAGAGAAGTAGAAAACCGATGGGTCAGCTGTTTATGGACTGTGTATTCCGACGCAGAACGGAAGTCGCCGGAAACGCCACTGCCTTTTGCAGCCTTCTGGTGAGGATCACGCTGATCGAACAGCTATTTGCTTTTAAAGCTGCTCTCAGTGAGGGGCTATTTTAGCACGCCATTGATAAAGCACAGCCTTTTGAGGGAATCTGGACCTTAGTGACTCATAAACCTACAGCTACCGAAGAATCCTCTCATGGGCCACCCACGGTTCCTTCGTCTACCTACCCATTCTGCGGATCGACAGCCATATGCGCCGGCCGGGCAGCGAAGCGCAGACCAGTGTCGATCACCGTCGGGTCCTCCAGCAGCCAGCGCTGCACGGTCCAGTCTCCATCGGGGGCGGCCACCAGTCCGTACAGGGCGCCGGCCAGCCAATCCAGTGCCAGGAGCGCCGGCTGACCGGCCAGGCCGACAGGGGTGACATCTACCGGCCGAGAGGCGCTACCGTCCAGAGGCAGGCGCAGGACACGGCCGGCTGAGGTCGCCAGGAACAGCTGGGCCGAGGAGACGTCCATGGCCGTACCTGAGGGGGGGGGGGCAGGTCACCAGAGGTCACACGACCAGCCGAGGTGAACAGAAACAGCCAGCCCGAGGAGACATGCATGGCTGTGTGTAAGGTTCACAGACAGGTTAAAAGAGGTCACACGGCTGGCTGGCAACAGACGACAGTCTGAATCGTGTCTTCAGGGGGTTGCAGAGGGTATGGTGCCTGGTCTACAAACCAAGCTGAGGTCACGTTTGCATGATATGCAGGCATTGAGCAAAATTTCGCAATGCTTCAGCACTTTATTGTCTCAAATAAAAAAAAAAATGCCGAAAGAATTGGCTGACCTGGACATGCTGCCCAGTCTAACAAGCATCAGTATAAACAATTATACAGCTGTCTCAACTCTCATTAGCAGTGCTCGTGGTGACAAGTGGATCTCAAATGGACCCAGTACCCACTACCACCGTTCCCATGTCCGAGATGAACCATAAACCGACCTGTGATGTTGACGCCTTTGTCGGCTCTGTAGACCGTTCTCGGCGCCGAAGTGACGTTCATTTTCAGTCGCAAGATCAGATCTCCAGAGCCGATGATGAGCATTGGCCTCTCCTGGGTAGAGACTGAAAGAGGAGTGTGACGTCATTGTGAGCTGCAACAAGGGTTGCGGTTGCGTCTCTGGTGATTGCATAAAAGGGGCGTGTGACGTCAGGGGTGGTGTTGGGTGTTAAATAGTCACCCCGGAGTAAGGAAGGGGCAACGGGGCAAATGAGCAGTGAGCAGACTCATGTGTCACCGAGCTCACAAGAAAGATGACTGGAGCCTGTCGTATGAATGCAGTGCTGGCTGCTGATGATGACATGGATATCCCAGAGACCCCGAGACACAGAACCACTGGTCATGGGATATTTCTCGACGCAAATGTAGCTCAAGCAAAACATCAAATATTATGGCCGTGATATGGTGACCGAACTGCCATCAGCGGTGTGGTCAGACGACCGCAGAAACAACCCTTTCCTCTCTCAGACTATCAGTATTCGCTCACCTTCGGCCGCGAGTGCCGGGGTGCGCACCCAGCTCTCTGCCGGCGGCCCGGCGCCGTCCTTGTTGATGGCCGAGACGGTGACCGTGTAGTTGGTGTTGGGCTGCAGGCCGCCCAGCACGTGTGACGTCAGGTGGGGGTCGATCTCGGCTGCAGTACGCTGGCCACCGGCGCGCACCACCAGCAGGTAGCTGACCAGAGGGCCGCCGGGGAAGGACGGCGGCAGCCAGCGGAGAGATACGTGGTGAGCGTCCGGAGCCGCCACCGTCAGAGCCTCGGGGGCTGAGGCCGGTCGGCCGCGGGCCAGAGTGGAGATCGGGTGGGAGGGGGCGCCCGGCAGAGGCTCCTGACTGGCCGCCACCGCCCACAGCACGCGGAACTGTGGAACACAACGAGAAACGGACCGTTACATAAAAATCAAATAAGTTATGAAAAAACTATATTAATCGGCCTACTCTATCAGCGCATTGACCTCATAGTGCCGTGCCAAACACGTTCTCGTAAACTCTTACAGAACTGCTCCACCACAGCCGCACTGCGGCCTCCCAAGAGACCTCTGTCTACACTATAGCCGGACCTGGTATCCTTCAGACGGCCACTGCCATTTGGATATTTGTCCCAAAGGCGCCGGGCACCAGCGACCACCAAGGCACGTGCCAGTGCGCCACGCAGTGGGGCCCAGCTGAGAATGGACAGCGTCTATATTATAACATGCGACACAATAACTGAAGACTTGATGAGGATCTGCTGGATGAGGGAGGCTCATGGCTCGAGCTTACCTGGTATTTCGTGTAGGGTTTTAGTCCCGTGATTGTAACTTGGCTTGCGTTTAGTTTCACGTCCGGCTGATAAAATATCCACTCGCCGGGTAGATCCGAATACCTGAGGGGAGACAAAAACATTTAACGTAAACAGATTAAATAGCATCAACAGCGATTGCTCTCAGTCACACACCGTTTACAATGGCGGGCGGAATAATGAGTCCGTGATGGGATACTGCGCCGCAAAACAAACGCCTGGAACGTATGCTGTCCCGCAAAGCACAAAGTGAAAACTACGAAATGCTCGCATATGCCGGTCCCGTGTTATGACTTAAAGTAAGCAAGGAAAGCAATGAACGTTAGAGTGACGTAGACATGGATATTGGGTAAGCAATTGCATCGAATTTAAATATGCAAACTATGCAGAAAAAAAATGATATAGCACTAAACTTTATTATCATTTATCGACCGCCTGCGGTAAACAGAAAACGATATAGACGGAACGCGTCGGCAGTCGGACTCTGATAGACCAAGGGGCAAGGGCATACAATAAAATACAGTAAAGGCAGACGTAAGGCGTGACGCCTACTCACTTGTACTGAACGAGCAGCATGACGTGCGGCAGCGGAGGGGCCAGCCATCGGATGGTGACGGAGTCGGCCGTCAGCGAGTCCGGCACCAGAGTCGGAGCGCCCAGCTGGAGCTCCTCTGTCGGACGGGGCGCAGTCAGAGGAACGGAATAGGCACGCGCTGAGTAAAGGTTAAACGTTTTTATCATTTATCTAAAAACGCACGAGCACAGCCCGAATAACCGATTAAACCGAGGGCTATTAAACCGAGGTTTTAATCTGAATTTTACGAGTCAGCAATTTGTGTCAAAGTGCAGGCATTAATTATACATACAGACATCTGGCATATGGCCACGGACAGATATACACATTACCCAAGTAGTCATTCCACAGCTGCCACATAGAATCTGGTGTTGGAATTTCGACAGACTACCGTGCGACATTGCCGAGATATTCAGCACGTTGGAAGTCATCAATGGTGCAAACATGTATATTCCGTCTATTGAAAACTGTCCGTTGAAGATACGGCATGGAGGCCTAATCCGCTGATAGCGGGGAGAACGAAAAAACTGCCAGTTTGGAGTCAAACCCGTGCCAGCTCGGAGAGCGTAAACAAACGTGGCTCTCGCATGAGTACCTAACTGATGTGACAACTGGACACCGCAGTCATAAACATGTGTAGCGCTGCAGCGCTTAAACGGCCGGCCAACGGGTCGTTTCTGGGGGCCGGCGGGCGGCGGGCCATTATACACAAACGGACGGGCTCTCGGAGGCCGCTGGTTTTACTCAGCCGGTCAGGGGACACGGGTGGGGAAATAGCTGCCGAATGGTTCGGCGGATGGCAGCTGATATTTCGCGAGGTGTTTCCTCACCTCTGAGCTGCTGAACGTATCGACTGACGGCGATGTTACAGCCGATGACGCAGTACCAGCGCTCTCCCTGCTGCGATGACGGCCCCTCGTCCATCTGATGAGGGAAATGACGTCCGGGCAGGTCAGGTCAGGTCAGGTCAGGTCAGGTCGAGATGTGATATGAAATGCTCAAGATGCAGGAAAGCGAATCGAGTAAGGTCAGAAAATACATAGCAGTCATAAATATATCAGGCACATACATAAGTAATGACCCTGCATTTCAAGTGCCAACCTATTATTATAAAAACGAAGATAAAAAAGCTTAGTTTAGACTTCTTCTCCAAACTCAGTGACAGGAGGCGTATTTTATGTCTGTGTTATTGTTTCATGTGTTACCATCCCGCTCCAAAGATCCAGAATACGGTCTTATTTACCCGACCGTTCCCACTATCACTATACCACTCAAACAAAAATAATCCAGCTGACAGATCACACGATATATGGTGTAGAAAGGAACCGTCTCCGCCCCATACTCACACAAAATTGTTTACAAGACGACTCGAGGGAGCGATTTCTCCCGGCGCATCCTTTATTGCACTGAAACAGAGAGATTATGCGGTAAAAACAAGGGATCGAAAATGACTTATTTGTTGGATGGCATACCGTTTTCCCCGTACACTCGCATCAGTTTTGTGTTTGCCTTGGTGTCTTTTTAAAAAGAATCGCTTTTAACGTCGCATGTCTAAATTGCCGTTCATGGTAAAAATAATAAACACTAAAAACCAACTACGTATTTACCATTCGCATGTTTCTTTTTAACGTTAAGATAGCATGCTATATATTTAAGCATTGACTGTGATTGTACTTGTGTTTAAATGTTTGCTGCTCATGATTTAAATATTTACGGATATGATTTTGTTTCGCTTTCCGTTTTGGGTATACCTGTTGTGACTTACTTGCGCTGACACTGGCCGATATCGGCTGTGGGCTGGATCCGTCACTTCCCGTGACGGAATGTCATTCAGGTCGTCACGTTGTGTGACCCCAACGTCATGCGATACGTCATCCCAGCCGTACAGGTGCGTCACGCCTTTTTACATGGAAAATCCCGCGAACGGTCGCGCCGAGATGGCTTTCACATCCTCTGCGGAAGGCCGCTGTTTAACAATGTGACCAGCTAAAACATCCGGCCGCGACCGATCAAATGAGAAGGGCACACACGCGAGGTCGTGACTCGGACGGGGCGGCACGCAGCCTGACCTCCGCGTCCGACCGGCAAACAGAGCCGCTCACACCGTCACAAAATGGCTGCCGCGGGGACGGGGCCCTGCACCCACCGGTCTGGAAGCTCACAGGGCGAGTTTGGTTTAATTTGCGGTGACGGCGCAGACGGAGGGGACTGGAGTCGGGTTGAGACGAGTCCCACGGGCGCGGTGAGGGCGGGCCGTCCCACCGTCACCCGCTGCGACACTCGTGACGGTGGTCCCGTCACAGACCGGCCCGACCCTTTGTTGGTAGCGCTCCGCCCTCGGTGACTTGCAGTGCCATCCCATTCGGTGGTGACGCGGTGTCGCAGCGGGCGCCCCACGTTCCCCCGCGCCGCCGCCGCCGCCGCCATCAGCTCGCGGCCGGATATTACCCGCTCAGTGGCGCGCACACCCGACCCGGCCACCGGCGAGCCTTCCGGCTGAGGCCGAATCAGTGCGTCGGTCCGCGCCGTGATTTGGCGGTGTGGCCGCCGCCCGCGTGCCGCCCCTCCCCCGCCGCGCCGCCGCCGCGACAACTCACGCCGCGATCAAAGCCGGAACTTCCTCTCCATTCAACGGCCGCGGAAACGATCGGCGCCCATAATAAAAAGATTAGCGGCCTGTATTGTGGCCAGTCCCGTGATGGACACTTTTTGCCGTACCTGGCGATTTTATCCGCACGCCGCTGCCGGCCCGGGACGTGGGAGCGCCGCATTAGACAAAACCGGCGGAAGCCCGTCTCTCACGCGCGCGCCGCGCTGACAGAAGCCGAGCGGCGACAAACAGTCGGTCCACCGGTCACTGTTTGAACGGCCGGTCAGCGGGGCGTCCGGCCCCAGAGAACGCGACCGGCGCGGCGCCCACAAAGGTGCGAGGCAGGGACAGCCTTGGGCGGCCGCGCGGACTGTGGGGCCGGCCGGTGCGCGGTCATTTGTATCCACGGCGCCGGATCTGTCTTTACCGGCGCCGTTTTTCTGACCGCCCTGATGGCTATGTCGTTAGCCGCAGGATGTTGGTCGTAACAGGTCGGACCTTTTATTACAGGAGAGGAAAGACGCCATTTCTTGCGCACTAAATGTGATGGAATTTGAACTGATTACCCAACAGTGACTGATTTATAAATCAGACAGGTCATGATATACTATTGTGCTCATAAATCAGTTAGCGACCGTGCTGGTGTTGAAAAATGCGCATGTATGTCTATCTATATTAACGTTTTATGATCATATTTATATGCAAACAGAGTTCTGTTGGCTCACCTGTTCAAGTCTGCAGCTTTCATCGCACGATGTCTCCAGATTTGAGCCTCGTCCCTGGTTCTGGAACAGAAGAAAACAAGCGAGTTAGTCATGTTGAGGACGAAGAATAACCTTTGGCTTGAGCCTGTCGAGAAATGTGTCGGAGTCATCAATTACAACGTACACATTTCTTTGTTCGCACTGTGCCGATTTGCAAAATGTTATGAGCAAGGTTCGCTGGAGGCACTGGCCTCAGCCCTCGTGGCAGCGTTATCTCCAATGAACTTTATCCGGAGTTCCAAGCTAAGTAACTACGACACCCCTGTGAAATGTTAAAGCTAATAATCCTACCCGTACCCGAGAAACACTTGCAAGATCTTTTGAATTTTTTACAAGCACATATCGTTTCATACCCATATTATTTTGAGCGGCTTATGCTCTTAACTGGCAGAAGTTATCAGCGAGACAACTTAGTGGCGTGCCATTGATCGGTACCAATCCATTCGACCAATCGTCTCTCGCCTGTTATTTACATGTTAAACTGGGGTCAACTTCTTAGCACAGCGTCACTGGCAGCCAGCAGTAGTTCCATGCTGATTAGGGCGGATCGAGTTCATTGAGCTGATTCGATCAACACTCCGAAAGGTTTGCCTCTCGGTGGACACTGCACCGCAAACTTTGACTTGTTACAACATTAGCGAAAGTCGCAAATAATAATGCTTCGTGCTGGACGTTCACCTAACTTTCTAGGCACGGACGTGTTATCAAGGGAGACGAAACAAATAGAAACTAAAAACTAAAAAGCAGGGTTGGATATTGTAGCCAATGTTGGTAGGCGGGCACACGTCAGCTGTCGAGTTAGTCTCTCCACCCCATTCTCGGCAGGTCGGCTCGTCACGCGTCTGGCAGCGCTGAGCGGACCGGCCCGGCGCGCCGCGGGGGTCGGTCATGGTCCGCACCCCCTCAGAAGGTCACCGGGCCACCTCCCCTTCCCTCCCTCCCCGCGCCGTGAAATGGACCGGCACGCCGCGCCGTGAGATGACGTCACACCGTTCACGGTCGGCGGGTGAGATGATTGGCTGGCGACACACGCGGTCGAAACAAAGCCCCCGGCGCGGTGATGGCGGCGCAGCTGCGAGCGGTTCGCAGAGCTGACGCGTTAGTTACTTCATTGGACTGATGAACTGCGGCTGTCGGGGAACGGTTGCACCCTTTAAACCTTCAGAGAACGGTCATGATGGATGGATAATTAGTATCTCACGCGAGACATCCGTTCTCTCACGTTCCGAACAAAAATAGGAAAGATCGTTTTGGGGACAGTTATTGTTCACTGGTTAACGGGATGAGTTTATTGACCAAAGTCGTGAGTGATCAAATGATAATTTGATGATAATTTGATAATATGAACAAATTCAGCATCTCAACCAAGCACGGATCGTGTTCAATCGGGCCACTGAAATGCATTCGGACATATGCCTCTGCATATGAGCCTACATATAAATTGAAACAAACTGTTATAAAAGTGATGAACGTAACGTAATATGTAATAAACCTTATCAATAAAACATGTAGGTTCGATGCAGAAAATAAGACGGCTCTTCTAACTGGATAGCAAAAAAAAAAATATTCGGGAAAGCTGGAAGCCACACATAGGGTAACTGTGGGGAAAACGCACCCCTGGGTTAAACGCCTCCCCTAAAAAAATCGTAGATCTTATCGGCGGATAGGTGTTTTATCCTGTCTTTCAGAACAATCAGCTGCTTGTTTACGTAGTTCTTCTCTATTTTCGGTTCTGCGTCTTGAGGAGCAGCGTAGGTAGGTGCTGATGTTGGTTTTGGGTGTTGTTTTTGTTGTTTTTACAGAAGATTCCTAAGCTTTTGATGCCCTCTTTATATCACAAAACTTGCTATTGTGCACATCACTCAAAACTGCGTTTTATTGTCATTCTGTTGAATTTATTATGCTACGGCGTTAGTGGCGCGTTTTTTGTCAATATTTTGTTGACCGGAAATGGAGTGGATGGGGAAAGACGCCTACTAAAGACGATGCATGGGGCAAGACGCCCCCAGTTTTCTGAAAGGGGGGCGTTTTGCACGGTGGTGAGAGTGCAGGGTAGCGCCCTGTAGGTCGGGGCCGAAAAGGCCTCTCCCTGTCCTTTTTTGCTGATATATCCTAAACGACTGCAGATATTGTCACCAAACTTTCAGGACTCCTCCGGGCATCCATTTTACACATTGCAACAACATTTTATTCCAAAGGCTATGATAGGTTAACCACAAATGACGTCAGAATGACGTCAAGTTCTGCCATGTTCATCATTTTCTGTTGATGGATGGGGTGGGGGCGCTTTGCACATGGGTGTGGGCGTATTACCCAGGGTGTGGGGCAAAACGCCCTTTTGTAAGGGTATGCGGAAACCTTTTTGGGGGGTTAAATACCACACGCAAGTGTCTTTTTTTGGTCTCAAAGCGTAGTAAAAAGAATGAGCTACATGATGGTGCCCAAAGGTTTGAGTAATCTGGGTTGGGTTGAGTGTCAGAAGGTTTCGCGCTTAATGGGGGCGTTTTTGACCTATTCACCCTATACCTACCTAGACAACAGAAAGCGACAAACATATAAAGGAAGCGAACGGATGAATTATTAAATTACAAACTCCTGAATGACTTCACAAACGAGACAATTCATTCATAACTCGCTGCATGGGTGAATGAATGGGTATCGCGCTACTTTACTTACACGTGTTGACAGACGTTGACGGATGCTTGGGGAAAACAGTCACGATCTTAACACAACGCTGCACGAGACAATGAACAATATAGTGGGCACCCTGGAAATGACACTGACCATACGCCATGGGGTGACGGCTTCCAGACGCTATCAGCGGCACACAATGCCGTCTTGCCGCCGCCGTGCTGACATGACACCGACGACCAATTAGCGTCGTTGGACTCTGGTTAGAACGCCCTGATGGCGCCGACTGCAGGTCGGGTAGTTCTGACAGTTCTGCCTTCTCGCCCCAGCGAGCGCCGAGTGTCAGTTGCGGCCACCGACGGCAGTGGTCACAATAAAACCAGCGGACTTTTCAAGGGTAGCCGGGACCATTAGTGCCACGCGGGGTTATGCATGCTCAGTAGAGGGCATCACACGCGCGCGGACTGGTCTTTTTGTCCTTCCGACGGGGTCCGCCATTGTTCATGAGAGCGCCGGGAGGGGAAAGGGCGGCCGGCCGGCGCGGCGGCGAGCAGGACCCTTCACTTCACGGTCGGGTCGCTGTCGCCGTGTCACACACACGGAGTATCGGGGACGGCGGACGTCAGCCGCCACCGTCCGACGTTCGTCCTTCAGCTGGGGGAGGGGCGGCGCACAGTCACGGTAGACGTTCGTGACTGCTCGTGATTTCTCATGAGCTCGAGCAGGTGCGACTCGGGAAGGATTTTCACCGAAGCAGGTGCCGGCGACCCTCCAGAGCCGCAGGTGCTTTTGAAGGACGTCTGGAGGCGCGTGCCAGGTTATTGAGAGAGCCGACTGATGACCGTATCATTATCGACGGCTAATAGCGATCGGCAGCTGGCGTACTGAAGCCGCCGCTTTGTTGAGACGTTGTTCCCGGGGCTGTGACTGTGATTAGCGGCCGATCAAGTTGTGAGACTCGTGCCTGTCATGTGGCCTCGGGGCGACAAAGCGGACATTTGTCAGGGCTGCGTAATCACGATCCTCAGGGCAGTCGCCTTAATTCCGTCGATGGGCGCGACATTGACGTCGACCCGTCCCCACGGCACCCAACAGTGGACACTCGGCCGGAACTCAGCACTCGGCAGTCAGCACTCAGCACTCTGCTCGTCACGGCGGTGCCGGCGCTGTGCTCGATTAGAGGTCCGGGTCGGCGGCACGGCGGCCGGCACTGCGCGCGGGCAATTTGTCGCCGGGTGGGAACACAGGTGCATGCTACTGTCGCTCCCAATGGCCAGCGCTTCCGCAGCGTCGCAGCGTGGCAGGCCTGCGGCCGCGCATGGGAACGTCCAGCTCAGAATACCCGCGTCCGGCCCGGCCGGTCGACAAGAGCTGGGAGCCTGCCGACAAAAATAGTTCGCCGGAGTATAGATAAAATAACCTGTACTGCGGGTCGATGTGTTCACTTAAGCTTTGTTGTCAGATAAAAATCAGCTGATGACATCCTAAATGAGAGCCTTGGGAAAACTTGCCCGAATGAGCTTCTTTTTAGCAGTAAAGTGAGAACGAGGTATTTAAAGAATGACTCAATTTGTTTGTGACGACTTCGTGAAGGCCCCATTGCATGATCATTGCGCGTCTTTCTCGCCGATTCCCACCGTCCCGTCCGTAAATCGTGACGCGAGTGCAGGTGCAGCTTCAGCCAACCGAGCAACCGCAAAACGAACTCGGACCAACCGTCATCACCGCGGCCGTATCGGATAAATGACGCTGCAGCAACAACCCACCGATCACACCATGGTACGGAGTGCCTGAACTTGCATCTCTCCCGACCTCTCCGAGCGAGTTAGCACCTCTGTTGTGGTGTAGCCATGGCCGTGAGGAATAGTACGCGAGCTGCAGAACTCGATTCAATTGGTCTGAATGAAGAGGCAGCGTGCAAGGCGCTCATGGGCCGCAGGAGATGGCCGTTGCCAACCGACTCCTCGGCTGGTAGAACCGAGACGGTAGGCCCGGACAGACTATTTGCATGCTTTTTGCATACGCCGTACGCTCGCCGGGCAAAAAGCACGCGGGCCTCGTGGTCAATTGGCTCAATGATTCAATTGGATAATGGCTGGCAGCGCCTCCTACCGCGGGGCTCGGCGCGCTGGAGCGACGGCCGATCGCGGGCGCCCGGCAGCCGAGGAAGCGACGGCGGCCGAGCGCCGTGGTGAAACCAACAGTCAGTGGAAGTTGGACCCGCCTGCTCCCTGCCTGACTTGGTCATCTATAATACGGCCAGCTGTCTGCTGTACTTAGTATACAGTAACATAGTTGGTAGGAATTATAATTGTGTAAAAAGACGGTCTTGGCAAACCGCGTGGCGACCACAGCTCACCCTTGCTGTAGACAAATGCACCTCAAAATGA